ACAACAAATTTTATATTAACTGTTATACTGTATTTTATAAACGATTCTTTTCTACTTCAACTGAATTAAAACTTTAAAAACTGGCTGGTTGCTGCTGGATAACGATGCACTTTATCTCATCTGTCCGCTGTCTTTCAGTGTTTCTTAAGACACAATACTTTTTATTCCTAGCTTCTCAAAGTGTTAGCCGGGCTAACACGGTTAACACTTTGATGACATGCGCGATCTGTCCAGTACACAACACCAGAAACTGTTACAACTGATGTGGCGCGACTTAAAGATTAAGAAACAGGATTTCATTTACACCAACTGCTGTGTTTCAGACTCACAATGGCTAATAACATTTCTTCGTGGCTGTAAGTTCTCTCTGGAACGCACCAAGTCCAAGATAGAAATGTTCTACACACTGAGGACCGCGTTGCCGGAGTTCTACGCGAATCGCGACCCGATGTTGCCGGAGATTCAATACATCCTCAAATTAGGGTGAGGTACTTACGTCCAACTACTTGGTATTGACATGAAGAAATACATTATAGATGGATACATACAAATACAGGACAAAATTATAGTCTACATATTCCTTGCGTGTCAATTGTTATTGCTACTTTGGTCAATATATTCAGAACAAAAACTGATAGTTGCTTTTAATTACCGGCATCAATGACATTACAGCTCATAACCACACTCTCTCTGGCAACGCTAATTCGTCACAGAACTATAAAATATCACAGGAATTAAATGTGAGTATCAATTTTGAAAGTACATTTGACACAACATTTTTTGTTTCACAACGGAAATTGTTTGTATGATATTAGCTCCTGCTCTGATGAAATTAAGGACCTGCAGTGAATGCACTAAACTGCAATAGAAATTTCATTCGCTTTCGTCTTGTTTAGGCGAACAATGAATGAATACAATTACAGACATGTGTCTATTTCAGAACTCACACCTCGTGAATGGTCAAACATTAAAGAAGAAATGTACAACACGGCTATTTTAAAGCTCGTCTACTAGTTGTTGTCTATTCTATCATCAACTAGGTCTCATAAATCACGACTAGTCCTACTTCTAAAAAGTAAATCAGCCAATGTATTCACTTCCTCCGAACAGCTTAGGACACTATGCCATTAATGTGGGATGTGAGCTTACACGTGACGCCGTGTAGTAAGGTAGATGCTTGCGAACGCTTTGGACAACTGTTTCGTCTCCATTTGCTTTATCTACCCTTGACACGGAGGTGAAAATTTCCTTCGAAATGTTAGAAGTTACTTAGAAAGTTAGATGTAATCACAACCCAGAAAGCCAGAATCCAAAGCTTCAGCAGCAGAGCCCACATATTCTTTATGTTAATAAGCTCATTTATCTCTCAACAGCGAGAAAAAATATGTAGTTGGGGATGAAGCTCTATAGCCTACAAGAATATGCAGCAATCAAATGTCAAGTCTGTGCTCTTTTTAATGCAGGCTGATGTAATCCGTCTTTATCTCTTCGAAAGCCCTCATAATATCTTAACTTTCTTTTATCTTGCTAGTCAATGGTTGATATAAGATTACAAAGATGCTGCCGTCATCTTGCATATCAAGTTCAAATTCTAACCATATGTATGTGTAAATGCTCATAGCAAGAAAAGGGATTAACCGATTTGCACCAAATATGGCATGCTTATTAATTGAGTACAGAAAGAGAACATAATTATGTCAAAGGCTTACAAAAATTGTTCAGAATTCGATTGCCGGTGAGAGTGATTGCTGTAGCTCAGAAACTAAGCACGATAAAAGAATTTCGCCAAGACGAAAAGTGTTTGTCTCAAAGAGGAAGATATAGAAACAAAAATTAGAACCCCCAAAATTGTGCTGGTCTCGATTCCCGGTAAAGATAACCTGTATAGCTCGGAAAATAAGCAAGACAGAAGAACGGCCTGAAGGCCTACATTTTTCGATTCATAAATCTGTGACATTAGCAGGGTTTCATCATTTCAATGGGTCAAGTGACCCTTCCGAGGGTCTGTACTATAAGTACTATTAATATAGTCTACTAATACTTTATAAAGCCTCGACCAACATCGACATTCTCACCAGCGTGACAACCCCAACTCTTAAATGCTGTTATATTTATTTCCTTCCCTTACACCATGTTTGCTGTTATTTCTATTGTCACTTGGAAAGTCAATCGCTTGTTCTCATCGTCGGGACACATCAGAGAGTTCACTGACGTATCAATGTGCAGAACGATGCTGCCGCTACCTCTGCCAGACGACGCGGGAAGACGGATTATCCTCATGAGGACTGGCATTACCGACCCTGATAAAGTGAAGATTGCGGACGTCTTCAAAGCGCAGATGATGGTCGCAGACATATTGCTTGAAGAGGACGATCGAATTTCTATTTGCGGCACAATGAATGTGATGGACCATTCGAAAGCAACTTTGACTCATATGGCACAATTCAGCCCATCACTAACAAAGAAAGCTAGCACGCTGTTTCAGGTAAAGATTGCCGAATAAACTTGCCCTCCGTCGGAGAAATACTGCTTTTGCTTTAAACTCTTTGAAGCCGAAGACTATTCGTAAGTCCTAGACAAAGACACCAGGGAAATGTTAAAACATATATTAAAAATAGATGGTGAGAATATAGAATGGATTCTTCTGGTTTACAATACGGACCAATGGCGGGATTTCACTAATATTATCAAGAATCGTTTGTTTACATAAAAGGCGGCGAATTTCTGGACGAGCTGAGGAACTATTACACTATAAAAAATGATTCTGTCCTACGACGTCAAACATTCTCAAGGTATTATTCACTTTTCTAGGATGGTTACCCAATTCGTCCTAAAGGCATGAACCATATCAACATGAATCCAGCGATCATCACTGTGTTCAACATGTTCAAGTCATTCATGAACGAGAAGATGAAAAGCAGGGTAAGTCGACAGTAGCGATACTCTAGAGTTATGTTGTTACATATGCTCTTAAAATCACGCCAGAACGACTCAGAAGTATGTCAAATGCAGGAAGAGGAGAGCACATTTTTATTGTAAAACCGGCACATCCCACGTGCAGTTCGCGAGCATAATTTTGCCCTCGATATGTCTCGATGTTCCCCGTGGTTATCATGTTTAAAGAAAAACTTTAGCGTATAAACAAAACGTCTGCACGAAATTCATAAGCGAAACCAATAAACACCACCAGTCTGCCCTAATAACTTGAACTTTTATAGGATGGAAGCTGTGGACAAACATGATCTTCTTTCAGCTGTTTACTAATCGGTTAAATCATATTTATTTACTAAAATGGTACGTTGATCTCAATGTGACACTTTCCATTTAAACATCGAACTTGTAAATTATATATTATATAAAGACCGGTTAATCATTCAGAATATAAATATGAAGACCCTCTTGCCTCCTTTCCAATGCCTCCTGGTGGCTACTATAGAACTAAAACAAGGAAAACTTTAAAGCCCTAGACTTCGAGAAAAATATACACAACTTCTGCAAGTCTAGAATTACGAGAGTAATCCAAAAAGTGGGTGTAATATTGAAACATTTTCTTTCTATGACATGCACCTATGCTGAGGTCCGTTCATACTGTAGGTAAAGGTGAGACAATGGAATGTTGTGAGAGTGTTTCAGTTGTACGTTTTTGCCTAGTGAGTGTGGGGTAAAGATCGTTTCCAGAGGTTTGTGCCAAGGCCGACCAACATCCACACTCAGTATCTCAGTGATTTCCACAGCAGTTGCCCTTGCAGTTTCCAACATTCTTTGAGTGAGCGCTGTTGCTAATGCAACAATGTGTTCAAAATACTGCCCTTGATTCTTGAATCTCCTTCTTTTTACGAGTATGGCGCAAGACTTAAGATAATTAAAGGGAAAATCAAGGTTGTTGGTTGATATCAGACAGAAGGTGGAAATGCATTTGCTGCTAGAATCGCGAATATGTCTCATATATATGTCCTTTCTGCAGCTGTTCGTTCACTCCGACATGGACTCTTTGTACAAAAACGTCCCACAAAGGCTTCTACCCCAAGAATATGGAGGAGAGGCAGGATCACTGGCCGCGATTACAGGTAACTCCGATATTTCTTTAGTCTCCAATCCCTAATCTGTCAATAAAATAAACAGCTTCCTTCAGGGTGTGGGTGTGTGTGAAGTAACTCCTTGATTTCGAGATGGCTGCTCTGGGATATTTCTCCGTGAGGTCTGGTAGAAGTCTACCATTGTTTCAGAGATTCTGCTGCCTCCATCATTATCCTCATGATGATGGCAATACGAACTTCAAAAATTCTTGTGCAATTCTACCGGACTACACGGGACAATATCCCAGAAGATAGATATCTTTATATTCGCCGCCGTGAGAACCTGAAATCACATCTCTCTTACAGAAGAATGGAAGAAGAAAGTTGAGGCACGACGTGGATGGCTCATGGAGGGCGAGATGTACCGATCGGACGAGAAGAAGCGAGTCGGGGGCAGACCGAAGACGCAGGAGGACCTGTTCGGCCTGGACGGTTCCTTCAGACAACTGAATGTGGACTAGAATATATTCACATAACTACATTACACCTGAGTTCATGTCCAGTCAAATACATATATAGAAATTTCACTTTTTATGGGTAAGAAATTTCAATCTTAAACATGAATTTAATTTAACATTTGGGTCTGTTTGAAAATAAACTGTAAATATTTCAATACTTCCTTGTCTCAAAAGACCTCTTGGGAATCTGCCAGTCCTTCAATAGGTTAACTTATTAGTTACATTTTATGGAACCAAGAACTTTAAATGTGTTCATATAATCTCTGTCGACAGGCAGTTCGATCCATTCCAAACCTTCAAACCGTATTTATATAAGTTTCACTTTAATATTATCGTCTCATTTGTGCTTTAGTCTGCCTATTTGTGTCTTCCCTTTTTAATTATACAAAGAAGTTTCAATAACGCTGCAACGGAAACACATGTTCAATTAGTCAAACACGGTTTCTGTTATAATGTCCAATATTTCTGATGTTTTATCCTGAGCCACATGTATCCAGCCAACAAAACAGCTGAGAAGTGAACATTAAAGTGAACCCTAAATGCTTAGGGTGTGAGGGGGAACCAGTCACTCACCCACTGAATATAACACTGACAGGACTGTAGCACGTACGAAGGCTTTGCTGGTTTCTCTAGACCGGGGCCACATTCAGAATTTCTTATTGACTGGCGGACTACAGGTTTATAAATGAGGGCATATTATTCCAACGTCATGACGGTGTATAAAAATGCTACTAAATTAGGATTATTTTTGTAAGCAGACTGAAAATTTTACTAATTTCAATCATTGGTAAGATACCTGCAATCATTCAACATCAGGATTAATTTCTGTTAGAAATTGCACTCATCATTCTAAGTATTAATCGACGAGACGCGTCCTAGTTTTTAGCTTAATGCTCTTCATTTAGCTCTACAGTTGCTCACAGTGATAATTATTGTACTATACTGACGCCACGAACCTTCTGAAGACCAAGTTCAGTTCAGTTCATACCTCAAAGATGGCATAATACATCCTTATTACTCGGATACGTTGGTTAGTGATCTTCACAAGGTTAATAATACCTGTTTTCTGACATCAAATAACTATTTTTCTCCATAGAGAGTGAAACAGTATCACAAAATGTTTACGCGGGCCGCTCAGAAGTTATCGGCGAGCACTGGGTTGAGAACCCCGAAATTACAGTATAGTCAAACATATAATTCTTACTAATTCAAAAATATTTGAATTAAATTAAAAAGTTCGACAGAGAGAGAAGTTATGTTTTTATGTGGATACAGAAACTGGCAGTTAGTATATTACGAAGCGATCCGGACATCCAACAAGCCTCGTAATCTGCAACTGGAAAGCAGAGCACCACGTCTTCAGCACCCAGGGAAAACCGACCATCATACAACACTTTCTAACTGGCGATTTCCAACAGAACACGGTTAATGTAACCCGATCTGGACATTAAAGAAGAAAAAGAAATATAATCTCAAAGCCAGGATTCGAACGGCTGTCGTAAATCCACAGACAATAAATTTATTTTAGTGGCTGATTATCAAGCTATTTACGTAACTTTTTAAATTCGTTTGGTTTTAATGGAACATCTCCGACATAAAAAACACACTTTAAATATGTGATATTTCAGGTTCTCACGTCGTCAAGAATGAAGATAGGTCAATATTCATCAGACTGCACAGCGAAAAATATCAGAAGACAGCGATATTCCACGGCAAATATGTTTGTCAAGGTATTCATCTTCTGCAATCGACCCCTTAATTTACAGACACTGATTGTCGGCTGTTACACTTATTTCGCGCCGTATAATTCGTGTTACGTAATTTATTTTTCTCTCGCAGATTAGGCTTCTGGACTTTTCCATAGATCAGTAACTGTATTTACAAACCCTTTAGATATCTGTAAGGGCTCTTGGATGTGGTGTCGGCCCATCATAGGACAATACAACGTAAAAGGGCTTTAAGCGGATTTCGAACCACCGACGTCTGTGTTCAAGCAATCGAAGATGGCGCGTGTCTTAGAACGCAAGGACCTTGTCATCAAATTGTTAAACATTTTTTCAAGGGAAAACTAGTTCCTTCTTCTATATTTAAGGTTAAACTGCGTCCTTTTTTCAAGCTACTGATTTCTTTAAACTCTACATACCATCCTTTAACTTGACAAGATGTTTTTCCACTCAGACTAAGCGCACTTGCACAAATATAAAACTTATGTAACGACAGAAATTCCACAGTGTTTACGTAACTGCCCCACATATTGTTAATAACATGATGATAGGCTGTTGCTATGACAGCAGCGTAGACACACAAATACATAACTGTTCTGCTACATGTCTTGGTCATATATCCTTGAGGTAGAATAGTGTTAGTACTAAGAACATCTTCGGGGTTGCGTTTCAATAAACAACGAATGGTGGCAAAGAATTCAAAAGAATAATGAATTACGAAAAACGTTTGCGTTGACTAATAAAAAGAAACTCTGACTCATTTTATAGTTTTGTTAAAATATTATCTGTGATATTTATTATAATTTACTTTCTCAATTATGTATCTTCTTCACTAAAAGTCAGCTAATGACTGGATGATTGAACTGATTCCAAAAACATTTCTCAATCAAACGAAATTGGAAGTATGCCTTATCATAAAATTAACTACCGAACATAGCTTTTATTTTGGAACGCCTAGTCTATACCAAATAAAGATATAAAGAAAGAAACAATAAATAGTACACAATCTTATGAAGGAAACACTTGTATAAATACTACACTGAGTGTCTGGGCTTACCGTGTCTTCATCGGAGCTGTGACTAATGCCGTTGTCCATCCTTCCTATAAAACACAGAGAAGATACACAAACATCAGAGATACATGAAGTAGAAGCCCATTCTTTATACATTTTACATCTTCAATATTAACACGCATGAAATGCGCAGTCCATTCCGCTCCACGCATATTTATGAAATGCATTCAATACTCCTTCACATGCCTTATTGTATTTTATGAACAATTGTTGCAGATGAAAATCTAATTTTTTGCAAAGCTAATAATAATAATACTGTATATCTCAATGACATCTATATTTTGCGTAGCAATTCTTGCACGACTAAAGTGGTGAGGTTATATATTAGTTTTAACGATTATTGTATTGAATTAATACGAACGAAAACTATATTTTCTTGAAATTTCGTGTTCAGATGTGACACCAAAATGTATCAAATTCTATACACTCTTTTACATGTGAAAACTGAGTCAGAAGGAGAGACACATTTCACATCCTCATTTTGCGACTTGTGCAGGTTCTAACTTTTAAAATGCCTCCTATCGTTATTTTACCTTTTATAGATCCAAATATGTTCCTCAACAATAATTACTCAAGACATTCTCAATGTCTGGCCTTAAGTTAGATGAGCGATCTCTCAAGTGTCACATGCACGTGATATTATATTTTTATATATTTTAAATTTAGGTTTATCAATACCATATAGGAGAGTAAAGCATTCGGAAAAATAGCAGCAATGCGCTCTCAATTAATAATGAATCAAAATTTTCATTTGTCAATCTCGTTCTCTAGTATTTTAATTCTGTCGCATTATTAACGGATTTATTAGCTAGTCTGATACAGTTCAGACGTCAGACATTTTTTTAATTTAGTTCTGTCTAAATAATTGACACAAGGATGTTTAGCAAGAAATTTTTAAAGTTTTCTCTAATATATCACGGAACATCGTCAAAACAAATACAACGGCTCTCTAACGACATGATACATTTATCAAATCCTCAGATTCGTCTCTCAAAGTACCGGAATCCGTATCCACTATTTATTATGACTGCATGTGCGTATGCATTAGCAGCGAAAAAGAGAGTAACCAGCCCGACACTATGTTCTATTCTTAGAGCCAGGGGAAAAATTTGTTTGCTTTTGTTCTGTAGTTTTAGTGAAATGTAAACATAATTTTCAGCACCTCGTAGACATCTAGGGATCACTGAAGACGTCATTCATTCACTACAAGCGTGGGAACGAGTATCGCAAATCGGGAATTTCTGCATCAAATACAATTAAAAATTACAAATATTCAGAAATATTTCAACTCAAGGTCACCCGAATAGTAATGGCGCTATGCTGTCTACCCCGTGTATGATCGCCATTTGTCTGCATGCCAGTGAAACAGCAACCAAACTGCTACTTCACACTACAAGAAGAACACGTGTGCTGTAATAAGTGAATGCCGACGGAAGGACGAATTAATTAAGTTTCTTTTAGCATTACATCGCCTTATTCTTCTGTATTTGCCATGCGACTACTTCGTAATATAATCTGCGTTTATGAAACAAAAGGCACGAACAGGTTGCGAGAGAAACCAACCAAACCAGTCCAGCAGACGAGGTCTTTGCTTATTTTGAGATGTCCGAGCCCGGGTGTAGTCTTGAAAACAAAAATGTCGCCCTGGCCTAACACGCAGTTCCAGGTTGAAAGAAATGAACATGGATCATGACGTGAGTCCGTCCCCCTAGGTACTTAATGGCTGCTTCTATACCACAGTGTTCTCTGTTTCTACAGGGGAATTGTCTTTACATGATATTTTAAGTGTAGAACTGAAAACCTATCGGTATACTGCGCAGTGTTTGAAATTCGTGGTCAAGAAAAGAATACAACAAGAAAACGTTCAAAGAACGTACCACTTCCTTATGTCTGTTGAAGGGCATTTATCGGTGAGACATCTCTGCCTTGCCGCAACTTACGGCCAGCTTCTGAGGATTTCTAATTGATTCTGTACCGTCTGTGTCCAGTGTTCTTAGACACTGGATACACACTCTCAACGTTCTTTGCGTGTTATATTGAAAATACTTTCACTGCATAAAGACAAATCCTTTAAGTTCCAAACTCTAGATATGCCATCTACATACATTTAATTAATATTTTAATAATCTTATAATTTAACAGTATCAGACAATTAATAGCATTTTTATGTCACGTAATTAAGATAATTTTTATCTACTCTGTAGGAAGACGCTGAACGTTTGAAGAAAATGAAGCACAATAGGATATAGGCCTACAGTAGAATGATTCCCAAGGGTGTAAAATAGGAAATCGTGCTCTGTTTTTAGGTCTTGTCACGGAATTCGGCACTATGGACTGAGGAGAACAACATGATCACCGTTCAGTATTCAAACCTTGCATATCCTTAATGGAAATTAAGACACGTTGCTGTTGTGCTAGCCTTCTCTGTTTAGAGTCAAAGTGACAGTGTACTATTCTAGGTGCTATGATTCGCAATGTATTAACTGCCTGAAGAAATCTGGAAGAATTTTGGTACGTCTAAATGCATACTGAAACATTTCCTGTTCGTGGCAGATGACACTGGACCGCAGGAATTCTGAGAACGTCAATACAGCGCATTCTGATTAAAACCGCTGAGTTGTACGATCATCGTCACCTTACACACGGAGATGCTTGAAGTGCACATCATCACACAGGGATGCGCGTCACGAAGCACAGTTATCTGATGTTTGAAAACAAAGTCTTCGGGAAAATATTTTGAACCAAGGGTAATAAAGTAACAGCGATTTCTGATATTACATCGCCGGAAACTTCATGACTAACACAAATGGACGATCATTATGGTGGTGAAATCTAGGTGGCTGATCGTGGTTATGAACGTATGCATGCAGAATTTTAGTGGGGTAAACGTCAGCTTGGAAGAACAAGAAACACGCGGACTTACACGATTACGGATCGTAGGATGTGACTCAGGATTGTGTAAAATGGAGGGCTTTGGTATCAGTGATGTTGATAATTCGTATTCGGTTACTTAACTGGATAAGCCAGGTTCCAAAAGACATGTGACCACGTCAGCTTACATGTGTGTATAACCTTCCTTACTACCATTTACTAATGTCAATGACTTGACAAATAATCAATCCTCTGTATTCAGGATGGTCATTATCTAATCATTGGTCAGCAGTTCAAATTGCATTTAGGAGTCATAAACTGACTCATTCCTTCTACTGACTGCGGTCAGTACTAGGAAATATGTAATGAAATGGCCCCTTTCTAATCTAGGTGAAAGTCGAGAAAACATAACTAATCAAATGCTGAAATATAGAACAGAAATAACTAGGAAAATTAATTGTACCATAACTGGAGAAAAACTGGATTACATTGACATAGTACAGTAGCTACATATTTGCACATATCAATAAATCCTTTCTCTCAAGACAGAAGTATTAAACAACATTATCACTGCAGGTGGTACACGAATAAATTTAAGCTACAATCATTTATTTCTTCCAGTTATCTACGCCTGCATTTGCATAACTTCTTTCTCATACGCTTTTAAACAACAAATTCCCATTGTTTACTTTTAGTTACAACAATGCAGTATCATTAAATATGTTTTATTTGCACAGTAATCATATAATGCAAATGAAGAAAAATGCTAAGGTCGCAATAAAGTGCGAATGCAACAATTTACATGAAATTTCTGTGGAAAAAGCAAACAGTTTACATAATATCCTTCACTACGTCCATGGCAGGGATATACGAACGAGCGAGGCCAAGTGACAGACTTTCCTGTTTCCAATTCTGGAGGTATCCGGCCAAAATTTCAGTCCGGTAGCTCACTACACTGACCAAGACTTCTCGTGGTTTTCCACAAGTTCTGTAATATCACATTAAAATAATCCACGGCCGTTTTCTTATATGTAATTTATAAGTTACGGAATCATACCACAGTTTAACACTAAGTAACCTATAATGTAAATTGAATAAAAATTTACTTGGATATTATCCATCGTCTAGTAATAAAACGTAAAAAACGTAAAACGACGTTTCGGAGATGGGGCTCTATCTCCGTCTTCAGGTTCCTACTCAGTTGGGCCCACTAGATAGAGCTAATCCCTATCTCCGGACAAATTAAAAACTAAGTCTATACGTTTCGGTCAGGTAGAAACAAAGATGTTTTACTGCTAAACACAAAGTTAAAAATCGTATGAACGGAAAAGTTTTTCTTTCAGTGGTTTTAATTGATATAAACAAGAATCCGGGCTCCATAAATAAGTCTAAAACTTCTTGACGATGGTGAAGAGTCAATTGAATAAAAATTTACTTGGATATTATCCATCGTCTAGTAATAAAACGTAAAAAACGTAAAACGACGTTTCGGAGATGGGGCTCTATCTCCGTCTTCAGGTTCCTACTCAGTTGGGCCCACTAGATAGAGCTAATCCCTATCTCCGGACCATCTCCGAAACGTCGTTTTACGTTTTTTACGTTTTATTACTAGACGATGGATAATATCCAAGTAAATTTTTATTCAATTGACTCTTCACCATCGTCAAGAAGTTTTAGATTTGATATAATGTAAATGTTGGAAATAATCAAACAATCTATGCATGTGATGCGACAGCTTGAAACCCAGTTCACAATGAACCAACGGTTTAACAAAGCAGTTGCCAGATTCTGAATGCCAAAAATTACATCCAACCACCATTGTTTGGGCGACATTTAAACTCTTAAAATTATTTTACTGCATACCGTACGTATTTTATTACTTTGCTGACTTCCTGAGCTTGTAATTTTCTTTGAAACAAGCGCTCGAAGGTTAAATGTGTTCGCAAAAGCCAGCCACCACACTATGTCCTGAGCCAAATGAATCCACTTCACATCCTATTCATTTCAATGCATTTAAATATTATCCTTCAAACGCCAAAGTTCTTGCATATGGTCTCTTCTTCAAATTTTCCAACTAAAATTTTGTGTGTATTTCTCATCTCACCCCATATTCCCTACATTTCGCTTTTCATTTCATCCTCATTGGATACAATTATCTTAAACAACCCCTCAGGTAGACACAACATTCTTAAACAATCATTGGATCAAATCCGATCAGTTTCAATAATGATCCCAAACCTTCGTGGTCATGGCTTTCAGCGTTATTACACAATCCTCGAGCAAGCAGCGATACACAGTGTCCACCCACTCGTGAAAGGCAGTTCGTATGAATGAAAATAGCACACAGGAAAACATCCTGGAGCGAGCACTAGTGCAAACAGCGTGGGTATAAGAATACGTCTTACGGTCTGCGTTCCTCTTTGTTTCAAGTCTCTTCACATCACAATTTGTAAGACAAAAACTGCGATGCAAAATGGAACGTGTCATGTCCATTCTTACACAATGGAAATGATTCAACATCTTAATACAGAAACTGCTAAGACCGGTGGCTGCGTGGTCAATGGTATAGAACAGAGGTTCCCAAACTTTTATACCTTGCGCCCCCTTAAAACATTTCATAAATTTCACGCCCCCTTCCAGAACAAGTGCAAGCAAACAGATTTGACATAAAATTTAGCTATGAGTATACAGCACTGTAAGACAACTAAACTGCCTCAACCAAGCAAAGGATCAATAAAATGTTTCTCCATATTTCGTTAAAAAAAGGTTTTTATACAAACAACACCCCCCCCCCCAGGGGGGCGCCCCCACACTTTGGGAACCTCTGGTATAGAGGTGAAAATCCTTCACGGGGCATGACTGTAACCAAGCAGGTTACTGTAGCGCTAAAGTTACATAATTACATTTTGTTCACAAAACGGCTTTGCTATTAGCTAGCCTGACTGTAACTTCTTGTAGTTTTCCTCTGATATTACTTTGAAATAGGCTATAATCGTCTCTTTCAAACACTTACCTCCTCACCGATCCCCTCTTACGACTGTAATAAATAATTTAAGAAACGGTTACAATCGTTACAGATTGCCTCTGAACTTAATTTAAACCCTTATTTTTTATGTTTTAGCTTCACAAATAGCCAATACAACTGAATCAAATAAAACATGTCAATAAACTTTTCAACAGTACGCAAAAAGGAATGCGTTAAGTTGATCCAGTGTCTTCAAACAAGACAAAGAACGGAAGCGGGCAGCTTTGCGTTGTACTTTTAGAGCCAGTAACATATTCCTCAGTCCAGGGTAGACCGCTGCAAGTTATAAGACAGACTCCACTAGGACTATCGCTTTATCTCTTAAAGTAGGCCCTCATTTGCATACTATCGAGGAAGAAATTATTCCGACAAATGTTTGTCACTACCGCCCACAAGCTTATCTTATATCTCGACCAGTCCGCATTCTTGGCCTGAATTCTTGTTCTGGAGAAATTACATAGTGACATTTCTGGGAATCGAACAGCCTGTTCTACATGCAGCAGAGTCATAAACGCAATGTTGATTTATGTTCATGCTGACACTGTGATCCTATGATAAGTGTTCGTTAACAAAACTTCGAACACAGAATGCGATTGTCTTAGTCAAGGCATGCTGTACACAGAGGCAGAAGGCGCCAGAGAAATGTAAGAAGACGTACAATTGTATGCACACCGAATCTAGAGCATTTGTCACCAAACTCTGTTGATCTGAGGCTCCAATGTAGCGACATAAAAAGTTTCAAGCTCCCAACCTGAAACAATTGTTTAAACTGTCATTTGCGGTGTCAAAAGTGTCTTAATAAACCTTATAACACCTATGAAGTAGGAAGGTGACTGACTGTCTTCTGGGATGTTGCGCCGTGTAGTCTGGTACAAGTTTTCCGACGCTTCATAGGTGCTTGCTGCTTTTATCATCAGGGCGATGAGTCACTACTACTCATCGCTTTGATGACGCGAAGTCTGTAACATTTCTACCAGACTCCACGCGCATCACACCAGAAATCATCTTCACAGTCGCCGCCGTGATTAACGAGAAACCTCATCTATAAAGCAGTGTTGCTTTTCCTGTTAAATTGTATGATTATAGTTTAACGTGGTCTGTTTTTATGTATTACGATTGGAAAAACAGTCCTTTGACAAAAGATTCAAGACTCCCTGGAGAGGTTGCGGTTACCGGTTTTGGAAACATTGATTTACAAATCCCTGAATTCGGTCGCAAGGGATTAAAGAACTGGGATGTGAGGGTGTCTGCATGCAATTGGATCTAAAGGGGTTCCAGTGGCGGGCTTTTGTGAACTCGGACATGAATCTTCAGGGCCCATAAAAGGCAGGAAATTTCACCAGCTGAAGACAATCAGATTTCCGAGAAGGACGCTGCTCCATGAATTCTGTGAGTTGTCATGCAGACAACCAGCCTAAAACAAAACGTGGCCACAATGAATAATCAGTAGGAAATTGGCCCAGATCTTTTACAGACAGAAAAACACTCTGTGTGGTATGTATGCTGTTCTGTGTATGTGACATTGCATTATATTTTCTATAACCCAAACCCGGTAGAAAGTCTTTGGCCAAGCGTTAGAAGAGGCAGGTTGTTCGAAAACTTCTGGAATCGTCCATGTTGTTCTGTATTTTAATGTTCTGTAATGTAACAGTAGAGCAGATGCGAAAAGCCGATCCCCCATCTAAGAGAATGCACTGCGCGTTCATAAGATTCATTGTCATATGTTTAATTTCGAGTCGGAACAAAATCACTGAGATAAAATAAAAATTGTGAAATTTTCTAACAACCCTAAAACTAATTAATTCAAGCGACATGTTAAAAGAGTGATCAGTTTCACACTCCTGACGCCTTTTCCCCGGCACCCACTGGATAGGAGGCTGAGTGGGCCATAGACTGGACTGAACGGGCGACAAGGAGAAAAATTCTTGCCGACTCCGAGAATCGAACTCCTGACTACCAGCTCACAGTCAGTTTGCTGACTGAGATACACTGATTCACAGTATAATAAAAATATATTATTTAATAGCTTACAGCCACAATGTCAGAAATGGATTAAAGGGTTATGGGTTCGGAAACCAACGCATGAAATTTCGTCATCCATCACAAACAAACAGGCAACTTACGTAATTTCTGCCCTCTGTGTTCCTGGTACTAGCGGGAAAACGTTTTGACATACTTTACGAGGAAAATAATTTCAACAGAACGAAACAAACGAAGTCACAAGAGTAAAGGAAAATGTTTTGATTATTTTTTGCGTAATTTGTGTCAATTGAAACACATTTCACTGGAATCGATTAACAAGTCTTCAGTTATTAACAGCAAAGACGTCTTATTGGTGTGAATTGTAACGTAGTGATGTTTGGTGGGAGAATAGGAAATCATAAAAGCGACTATAGAAAGAAAGTTTGTTATGATTGAAAGTTGGTATGATGGTGGTGGTAGGGATAAGTTCTGGTTGGTGGTGGGGACAGACGTGCTGCTGAGTATAGCTAGCGTATAGCTAGCGCCCGACTCGACGGAACTTCAGTTATTGAGCGAGTCTTCTGGAGACATCAAGGTACGTTACACGGCTTGTCGTAGGAGATCTGCTGTGATGAAACACTGCAGAGTGTTTTCCGATAACTCTACGTTCTTGAGGGAGAATAAAACGTTTATTATCCTTTAATAAACTACCGTATCTCATTTCCTCTACAGCGTTTAATTATACCAATTACTCAGAGTCGAGAAACGCGCGTGTAAGAAACATGTGTGGTTAAGGAAGAGACAGGACAATATTCAAGTGTAGTGGAATTTCGGCCAGAGCCAACATTCATTTCCAAGGTAAGTGAATCCAACAGCCAGTTCGACGCAATCGTTTGTGATTTCTTGTCTGAAAGAACAAACGTGATAGTCAAAGCGAATGTCGCGGCTGAGTGTTTAGCAATTCCGTTTCGTTTTCAGGAGGACCGGGCTTCAAATCTCAGCCCAGAGACCGGTCATCCTTATTGATAAGTTTTCAGTTTATCTAAACTCCTCCAGGCAAATGACGGGCAGTATATTTAATTAGTACATTACAGCTTCATCAATTGCTATATCACACTTCATTACACAATCTGAGCCACTACTGAATGCGTCGTTAACGAACTACAAAGCCATAACTTCGGTAAATAAATAGGCTAATTACAAAAATTATGTGTGTGATGAATGTATTTCCTTACCACATACCTTAAGAGCTGGTTGATCTAGTTTCGAAGTGACGACAGGTTGGAAAACTTCGATAGAAAAATTACGTAGCTCACAGCTTGTTAAATGGCTGTGAGTTACTCGCACTACTTAAAGAGATTAAACAGACGTACCAAAAGCGGAACAACTTCATCCTTAAATCGGACAGAATCTCCTAAACTCTGATTGAGGCTGCCGAGATGTTTGAAAAGACACCCAAGGAACTTTAAATTGAGGGGAAGGGAAATTAGACGGCAGGGTGAGGGTGAAGTAGGGAGGTGTTAAGTCAGTTATGCCGATTAAGCATGATTTAAGACTTCAGTCATATGCCCGAAATGTTACATTGAAGAAGTTCTTATCAAAGGTGAGCTGCAAAGTCAGGTTACTGTTTAACAGCGTAATTAAGTAGCAATTTTGTACATTTAAATGTGAGAAAATTGCGGTGAGATCTTGTATTGTGTTCTCATTAACCGTGCTGCGAGTAGG